AAATTAAATAATATTTAAATTTTGATATTAAAAGCATTGAATCAAATTTAAAAAGAAACTAAATATTTTTTTATTTTCAAAACTTAAAAAATAATAATATATATTAATTATATATAAAACATCTTTTTTTTTTAATATTAGATTATTTATTTATATTATTAAAAGAATATTTAGATTTTCAAAAATATTTGATTTTTCAAATTTTATTTTTCTTTTTATAATTAATATTAAAATAAAATTATTTTTATTTTAAAAATATTCAAATTTAAATAAAATTTGAAATATTTATTTAATTTATCTATAAAAAAGTAAAATAAAATATTAAATTCTTGAAGTATAATAAAATAATAATCATCTTACATACATTATTATTAAAAATACAATCGAATTTATAAATATAGATCCTTTTTAATGTTTTATTTTATTTTAATATTTTATTACCCAGATTAGGTTTAGGAATTAATTATTTTAAATAAGAATAAGTCATAAATAATATAAAACAAAATGGAATTGATAAAAATTTATAAACTGGCCATATAATTCCTAAAAAACTTTTTTTTTATATTATTAATTATTTAAAATAATTCATTTTTATTTTAAAATTACGATAATAATGCTATTATGTTTGATACTAATTTGATTATTATGTTATATTAAGAAATTCTATATTAATATATTCTAAACTGATAAATTTATTTGTTTTCAATATTTTAATATATGCTTATCATTATATTAATAAAAAGACTTATTAAAAAACGTTGATAAAGTTCTTTCTATTTTTTTTTAAAAAAAAATAAAAATAATATATTCTTTGTAATATTTATTTTTTAATTTAACTAAAGAGAGTTTACTTAAATTAATGTCTTCTTAATTAAAGTATATGTAATAAATCCATATGATAAATTGAAAATAATCCAAAAATAACCCATAGTATTTCGTTTAACTATTTTTCTCTTTTTAATTGAAAATTTATTTCATTTTTTTAATTACTTTAGCTTTTATAATCATGTAAAAGTTTTTTAATTACGTTTAATTATTAAAAATATCATATTATTACATCCTTAAGCATTTTAATATACAAAAATAATATTATTTTTTTATTTTTAATTTACAAAAATTAATATTAAGGCTATGTATTGAATATTTAAATTTTTGTAAATTATTATGCTTTTTCTTCATAGCAGGAATAATCATACATTTATTTTCGTTTTATTTTTATTTTTTTTAATATTTTTAATTTTTTATAAAATTTATATTGAAGTATATAATTATAATCTTTTACAATTTTTTTTTTTTTAAAAATAAAATAAAATAAATAATAATATATTGTATGTATTTTTTTATTTTTTTTAATTCAATTTTTTTTGATATACTTATTTTCTAATTATTTCGTATTCAATATTTAATCATTTAAATCTTCATTAATATTACTTTCACAATTTTCAGTTGATTATTCTTATTCTTTATTTTTTTCTACGATTAATTTGAATTTTTATACTTAATCATTATTAAATGTCTATATATAAACATTTTTTTTCTTCAGGTCAATAGTCAAATATTTATTTAAATTTAAATTCAAAAAAAGATAGTGATTTTCTATATCTTTTAATATAATCCAATATACATTATTTTATTAGTTTATTTCTTTAAATAAAACACAGCTCTAGTCTTTTTAAGTAAATCCAATATATTGATTTAATTCATTTTAAATTAAATATGCGTTTTTATATTAAGCTTTTGTAAACTTAATTTTTATTTATACAGCTTTATTAAGATAACTATGCTAAAATGATTTAATTATTTTAAAATGAAAGAAAGTTTTAATAATAATTAATTGAAAAATCCTCATTTTAAATAATATTTTCTTCCTATTACTAATATTTTTATTAAAATATAAATAAATTTTTTGTTTTTATTAAAATATAAATATTATTTTTTTTATTATTATTGAAATATATAAATGAAAAATAAATTACTAAAAAATAGAACTAATAAGTATTTGGTATATTTTCTATTTTTATTTTTTAAAAAATCGCCAAATCGGAATTAAAAATGAAATATGAATCATCTTTTTGTCTAAATAATAGATTAAAACAATTCATTTATTCATTTAATTATAAAATAAATTTTTCTTTATTATTATCTTTTGATAAAACTAATTTAGTATTATTAAAACTTAAATAAAATTTTAAATCTTAATTTTTAAAATAAATAAATGCTTGATTTTCATTAGTCCCTTCAAATTCAAAAATAAATTTTTAACTTTCTTTAAAATTTAAATTTTCCAAAAAAATTGCTTCTTCTTTTATTTAAAGAAATTTATTAGATAAAGTGGAATACAATAAAAACTATATATTATTAATTTTTTTTATTTTTATGATAAAACAACATTTTTTTCAAAATTAATAGACTCTTGTATTGCTTATTCGAATTATTAATCATAAAAATCTTCTTAATAATCCACTTTATAATTATTATTAAAAGAAATAGTTTTTGGATTTACTTATACTAAATATTACACTTATAATGTATTATAAAAGAAAATACTAATCGAATCTAACAGGAATTCTGGTCTAGAGGAATTATGGTCACCTTCAACTATTTTTAGATTTTTATCCCCTGCATAGGCCTCATATAATTATTTTGTATGTTCCGGATAAATAAAAGTATCGTCTTATGCGGCAACAAAAAATGCAGGAATAAAGGCTTTAGATACATTATTTTCAAGAGGATTTAGATTATTTATATCAAACTTAGCTTTAGATTATATTTTATTTTTTATATAAGATAGAGCAACTGAAACTAAAAATTTTGGGATTTTCTTTGAGTATTATTCGCATAAATCTTATGCTAGTTTCTTTAAACTAGAAAAAGGTGAATCTAAAACAATTCCTGCTATAGATGGATCTCTATCGGAATGCATTAAAGAAGTTACAGCACCCATACTTCTTCCTTTTGTAATATTTTTTTTTTTTATATATATATATATATAATATATATATATATATATATATATATTTATTTATTTATATATACCCCATAAACCTATAGTTGATACTGTATTACTTTACCTTAAAAAATCAACAACGCATTCTACATCATCACGTTCATACCATCCTAAAGAAATATATTCACCTTCTGAAAGTCCACATCCTGCAAAATCAAAACTAAATAAGGTAATGTTTTAAGGTAATAAATATTTAATGCATTATAAACTTTCTAATCTACTTGAACTGTTGCCATGTAGATATATTACACAAGGAAGTTATTGCTATATAGGTTTTTTAGGTTGGAAATGTGAACATTATAAAGTCAATCCTTGTTTGTTTTTTATTTATATGTCAGTTCTTTATATTTCTATTCCTTTAATTGTGAAACTATTGGGACCTAATTATTATGTTTTATATTCAGAACGGGGTGGACGAATAATTAATTTCCAAAAATCTGTATAATTGCTAAAAGATAAATATTATTCCATGATATTTATGTATAATTTTATAAATTTAACTTTATAATATATTTTGTAAAAAAATAAATAAATAAAAATTTAAAAATATATATTTGTATATATAATATTTTTATTATTATTTTTCATCATTTATAGCTTTATTTTTTCTCATTTAATATAATATTATAGTTATGATTAGATTAATCATTTGATTATTCATAGTTATTATTGAAATCTTTTTTTATGTAATTATTATTAGAATTATTTTCATCTATATTATTTAATTTTTTGAAATGATCAAGTAATTTTTCTCTAATAATTTCTTCTTCTTAATAATCGTCATTATTATCTTCATCTAAATCTTCATCAGAATGGAAACCATATCTTTTATAAAGATCAATTTTTTCATTATTAGCTTTTTTTTGTCATCATTTTAAAGTATTATTCTATAAGAACCTTTTTACACATATTTCGAATCGTTTTCTAAATTATTATTATAATTTTAGTTTTTATTTACATCGTTATTATTGTAATTTTTATTGTTATTGTTGTTGTAGATTTCATTGTTGCTTTTGCTTTTGTCTTTATTATTGTTATTGCTTTCGTTGATGTTTTTTTTATTGTTTTTGTCATTATCGTTTTTGTTTTTGTTGTTATCATCATTGCTATTGTTATAGTTGTCATTTTCGTTGTTTTTTTTGTTATTGTTATTAATGTTGTTTTCGTTTTCATTATTTTTTTTAATATCGTAATTAATGTTATTGTTGTCGTTGTTATTTTAGTTCTCGTTATCGTTTTGGTTATCACTATCGTTTTGGTTGTCATTGTTGTTATTGTTATTTTTATTATTGTTATCCATAATATTTTAATTATTATTATGTTAGTCTTAATTTTTAATTGTTCTACTAACACTTGTGACAGGCCTTTTTATTTGTTTTGAAAGATTCTTTTGACTTCCTGTCAAATCTTAGATTATTTTAGCTGTTTTAGCCCTTTATTATTTATCTTTGCTTTTATTTCGATTTTCATTTTCTTAATTATTGATAAAATTAGCTTAAAGTTCATTACTTTTTCTAATTTCTTAATTATTTTTATAATTATTGGGATTTGATTATAAAGTTGTAGCAGCAGATTTAATTCTTATCATTTATTAAACTCGACTTTCTACTAATTTAAATTTACTGTTGTTTTTATAAGAATTAAAATCGATCATTTTATTTAATTCGGCTTTTGTACATTTGGGAGAATATTTTTCTGTACCTTCTTAATCTTCCATTTCATTTTTTCTAGTCTTATTTTTTATTTAAAATTATAAAATATATAAATAATTATTATTATATTTATATATATACATAATTAAATATATTTTTATATAAATATTAATAAAAAAAATAATTTTATATAATTATATATATATATGTATATATATATATATTTATTTATTTATGTATATTTATATATATATTTATTTTTACCACATAAGAAGGATCAAACATTTCCATCCATTCATCTGGAAAAGGATTACAATTATAGAAATTTTCATCTGGGAAATAAACATCATTATATTTTTAAAGATTAAGTTTTCCAGTATTATATTCTCCGTCATACACTAATCCAGTATTTATTTTCAAAACACAATATTTTGCATTTTCGAAGAAAAGAAGCACTTAAGATGAATGTCTTTGTCCACTTTTGTCTTTATTTTTAAAATGAGAAATTGTTTTGGATGTACCTTCAGCTAAAAAGGCATTCCAATCTGGTCCTTAACATAAACGGACTTTTATTTGAGTTTCTTTGAGAAATTTATCAATATTAAGGTCTTCACTAAAAAAATAATGTACACGGATGTGGTTAAGATTTAATTATGAATAATGCTTAATCTATTAATTATGGAATCCTAAGTCATCTAATTAATTATTTTTTAAAGTAGAATTTTTTCTTTATTAAGTTTATCCACTTAGTTTAGAATCTCCTGAATAAAGTCTATTTTTTTTCTAAAATAAATGAAAAAAAAGAAGTATTTTTTAAAAATATGTATATGTATTATATTATAGATAAAAAAGAATACTTAAGTATCATTATTAACTTAATCTCCAACTTAAATTTTAAAACTGGTTCGAAAATTGTGTAATTTATATTAGAAATATAAATTTTTAAAATCTATATTCTAGTCTATTCCTATATTACTTATTTCACTTATATAAAATATCAATCTCCATTAACATAACTTCTCACTTAATAAAGCTGGTCTATGTTTTGGTTTTTTATCTATTGGAACTCTTATTACTGCATCATAAAGAGGTATATTCTATGCTCTAGCAAATTTCTATTCGATTTCAATTAATTCGTGTTCTCCGACTACTAGCATATAACATAAATTACATACTCGACAAGGCCTAGTGGAACTATGAGATACTTTAATATTTTTTAAAGGGAGGTTTCTTTTTTTTAAATGCTAAACTAATTCCCATAATAACTTTTTTTAATTTTTTATTATATTTTTTTTTTTTATTTACTTTATATGTCAAAACTTTCGAAACATCATCTTTTTTAAATATGATTCCACATAATTTACAATATACAGAACATGTTAATTAGTCGAGAGTTTTTTATTTATCTTCATCTTCAGTATCTTTAATTTTATATTATTTTTTATAAGTTTATATTTTTATTTATTTTTATAAATTTTTGTTTCTGTTTTTATTTTACTGGCTTTTTTAGCTATAATTTATTCCATTGAAATAGTGTTTTCAGCTAAAATACTTTTCATACTAATTAACCATATTTTTCCTTCTAAATCTTACATAAAATCCAAAACAATTTATTTTATTCTAATTTAATTATTTTTTTCTAAAAATATAACTAAACTTTCAGCTTATTATTCATATCTATAGATATAATGAAATATATATATGCAAATATATATAAAAAAATATATATTTATATATAATCATATATAATTATATATATTTAATTAAAAAAATATTGATATTATTAATTAATATATATATATAAATACTCTTTTAAGCCTTAACCTTTAACATTTTATACAACAAAAGTATTTTATCTAACTGAACTTATGCATGCTTTATGATTTACACTAATTTTAGTATCAGGATCAAAAATTTCTACTAGATTTTAAATTCTAAAAGCATAATTAGCATTTGTACTCTATGAATTTTTAGTATGAAATACTAATCTTAAAACTGTTGCCTTATTTATTTTTACATAATCTTAATATTTATAAATATATAAATACTTTCATTGGTCTTGAATAAATATATCTTTGCTCAAAACTATTACTGCCTCCATCTGAAGAAGAAGATCTTTTTTCTCCTAAAGTTTTTACTTAGAAAATATTTTAAGACAGTAAATAATCTGGAGAAGCTTATCCTCTTAAAATAATAATTGGAGCATCTTGATTAATTTTAATGTTAGTTTTTTCGTAAAGATCATATAAGCTCATTTAATCATTAAATTTTCGATTTTTAGAAAAACCTTCTTGATCTAATTAACTTTTGAATCTTAAACTAAACGAATCTTATTCAAAAAGACATCTGTATAAAATATTTAAATATATATACATATAATTATTTTAAATTAAAAAATACTTCTATGTAAATGTTTGCCATGAAGTATCTGGCTTTCTAACTACTCTACCTGTTTCATCTGTGTAAATCAAATATTAGGTTTATTCAAAATTTAAATATGTTTCAGGTATATTTACTTTTAACTTCTTAAATCCACATCTGGCAGATCCCAAAGCCTTAAATAAACCATAACCTGGCTTTACTGGGTAATTTTGATCTTTATAAAATCCTTCGTCGGGGGGTGCAAATGATATTTTTGCGATTATTTATTACCATAATCTTAGCTTTTTTTCGGCTTGGAATTTTTCTCGTTCGTCTGCCTCTTGTTGGCGCATTTTCTTTTCTGATTTTAATTTTGGGAGAGGAGATTAGGATGCGATTGTTTGGTTGTGTAAACTTTTTTTTATTTGCTTTTATGGGAAATTCGATTCGATTCCGGGATTTGTTATATCATAATCTGCCATTTTTTTGTTAGTTTTTTCTCTTTTTTTTAAAAAAAAAAATATTATTTTTATAATTATATATATATATAATGTGTATTTTTATAATTAGTTATTTTTTTTATTTTTTATTTTATTTTATTTATTTATTATTATTTTTTTTTTTAAAAAAAAATTATTTAAAAATAATAATATTTATTTATAAATTTGAAAAAAAAAAAATTAAAACTTAATTTAATTTAAAAAATAATAATAATAATTTTTATTTAAAAGATTTTATTTATAATTCATATTTAAAAAATCTATTAAATATATATATTTTTTTTTTTTATTAAAACAAAAAAAATGAGTGAAAATGCTGACGATGATTATATAGCCTAAGCAAAATAAAAAATATATTAAAAATACCAAAACTACTTAAAATAAAAATAATGTTAAGATTAATTAGAATCATTAGGAATCGAATATAAATAATAAGAAAATAAGAATGTTTTACTTGATTTAACAACTAAAATAACGCAAAAAATACAATAATAATTAAACTAATAAGGATTAGGATAATAAACTGATTTTTCCAATTTTTAGAAAGCTATTTCAAAAGAAATTGAAAATACTACTTGTCCTATTTGTTATGAATTAATGATTCCGCCTGATTTTTCTCCAATTTTATTATTTCCGTGTGGCCATACTTTTTGTAATAAATGTATAAATAATTAGAAGGGAAATAAAATACATAAATGTCCTTGTTGTAGATAATAAATATAATCTTAGGCAATAAATATTCTTTTGTAAAATATTATATGCACATATACTAATAATAAAAATTTAGTTTAAGATCATTAGAAAATGGAAGAGAAAAGGGACTAAAAAATATACAAAAATGAATACGAGAAAAATTATGAATTATTAAAATTAAGATGTGATATTTTAGTTTAGGAAAAATAAGAGATTTTTATAAAAATAAAAGATGAAAATTCACAAATAAATTCACATAAATAAGTTTTGGAAGTTTTAGAAAAATAAAAGGAAAACGCAGAATTATAACTTTAGAAAATATAGAAAGAAATTTAATTAATTAATCAATTTATGAAAGAAAATAAATAATAAATTAATAATATTTAAACAAATTTAGATGAAAACAATTCGAAAATTTTATTTATTGATTAAACTTTAAATTCTCTTGAAAATGAAAAATTAAAATATTAATTATTATCTAATTAATTCTGAAAATAAATATATATTATATTACCTTTTAAAATACTTTATTTTTTCTTTTAATTTATTTTTTAATAAATTTAATTCAAAAAAAAAGCAATTATTTCATTTTTTTTTTTTAACTTTTTTTCGATTGAATAATTTTTAAATGGAAAAATAAAATAAAAATAAAACATTTATATATATATATTTATATAATATTTTTTAGTTATTTTTAATTTTTATTCATTATTTTTTTTATTATCCTAATTCTAAATTTTTATCAGTTATAGTTAATGGTTTAAATGCTAATTTAAACGGAACTTCAAAATATTTTTCTTATCTTAGTATGTTTCCATATATCTCAGAAGGTTCCTTATATCCACCTTTTTCAAAAAAACTGGGTCTTTAATGTGTTGCTATGTCATGTTATTTATCTGATGTTTTAAAGTATTTTACCCAGTTTTTTTATGTTTCGCAATTGTTTTCTTTTATTTAAAATATTTCAAGTTTATCCTATTGTGTTTTTAAATTAACTGATTATTAATTGTTTATTTTTTAATTTATTTAGAATTATTCTTTCAAATTTTGTGTATTTTCTTTTCTTTAATTTAAATTTTATGTATTTTCTTTTTAATTTAAATTATTAGTTTTATATTTAGAATTTTATATTTTTTATTAATTAAAGGCTGTTTGAGGTCTTTTTTTTTATTTTATTTTATTACAAATTGAATGTCTTAAACAAGAACTTTCCTTTGATTTTTTTTTTTTTTTTTTAAATTATATGTTAATTATATATGTATATATTAACAATTAATTGCTAAATATTTTTTTCTGAATAAAAATTTGATCTAAATATGAATTTATTAGTTGGATTATAAGGCTCTTAATCTTTATTTTATAGTTTAATTTTAATATTATGAGCTGATTCAGGTCTAAAAGTAGTAACAAATTTTTTTTCTAATTATAAATTTTCTTCTTTTTCTTTATATTTAAGATATTTTCTCTCGATAAATTCTTTATTGAATACATTATTATTAAATTATTATTATTATTATTATTATTATTATTATTATTATTATTATTATTATTATTATTACTATTATTACTATTATTACTATTATTACTATTATTACTATTATTACTATTATTTATTTCCTTAATAATATGTGTTTTTAGCTGAAAATAATCTTGAAACACTTTTTCTTACACTATCTCCTTCATTATTTTCTTCAAATCCAGGCATTTATGAAGGAGTATCCTATTCAATATAATTATTTTTAATATAATTTCTTTTTCCTGACAAAGTTTTAGATGTTTATGGTCTTGTTATAATATTTAATTTCTAAGGCTAAAAATCAAAGTTTTCTGGAACAAATGTTAATATTGGATTTTTGTCACTTTTTTTATATTCTTATGGATTTTATGAAAGTCTATATGATTCTTGGAAATATTTTTACGTATAAAAAAGTATTTTAGTTTAATTTCTTTCTTCTTCTTTTTAAATTTTTAAATTTATAATTTTCTCAAATGCATTCTCTCCTTCTTTTTTTATTAATTATAATTAACTTTCTTCATTTTTTTAATTTTCTTCATTTAAAATTTGAATAAATTAAGTATTTTTTATTTCCATATTGCATTCAAATTATTAATTATTTTAGTTATTTTTTTATATCTATAAAAAATAATCATTTACATTTATATTTTTTACTCTATTTTTTCTTAACATTTATTAATTATTAATATTTAAATCAGGTTTAAAAGTAAATTCATTATTATTATTTTCTATTTTTTTAAATTAAGGAATTTCTAAATCATGCCTAAAAGGCAGATTTTCACCTATCTTTTCCAAAAAAACAGCCCAAATGTGTCTATATTTTTTCTCTAAAGGCACCCATTTTCCATCTAAATCCTTAATATAGTGTAATTATACATATTACCATATTTCTTCTACTTTTAGAGGCTGAAAAAATTGTTTTTTGTGTACTATAATCCTATATTTTGTTATATCGTCAAAAAGTCCATTAATTTGTTCCTCTTTTAGGCTAATTTAATGCTTTTATGCAAATTGTTTTATCTCTTCTTTCGATAAAAATTAGTCCTTATTTAAATCCATTTATAAGAAAAGCTTTTCGACGCTTATTTTGGGAATATTCGTGTGTTTTTTGGAATATTTATTGTATTTTTTGGGATAGTTCTCCTTATTTTGGATTTAAATACGCCTATTGTATCTCCAGAGATTTTCTTATTCAACAATATTGGGTGTATATAGTTTTAGTTCTTAATTTTTTTCTAAAGCGAGTAATATAATGAGCTAATTTTGGTTTAAATAGATATAAATAGAATTAAATTGAGGACTAAGAAGGGCTATATTAGTAGTCTAAGTGTTAAAATCAAGTTAAATATTAGAAGATAATTTAAGCTTTTTTTCAAGAAGAATAAATTCTGTTAAAATAAGCTCTATAAGGAATTATTCTAGACTTTAGAAGTGTTATATTTATTGGACTTAATAAATGAAAAAAGAGGCAAATGTATTCTAAAAAAAAAGTTAATTTTTTTAATATTATTATATAAAATTAAGATTCTTTTATATATCAAAATTAAATTCTGAAAGGATTTAATTTTGGGTTGGTTTTAAATATTATTTTATCTTTTATAAAATTAAAGATTTCTATATATTTAAATTTGTATTTTAAGATATTATTTTAGATATATATTAATCTTAGTCATCTTTTTCATTTAAATTTAAAATTTTTTCTATTATTTTATTAGGTTTAGAACGAAATTTGTTTATTAAAAAAGCTACGTTGATTTCAGAATTTATATTAGTTAATTAATTTTAGTAAATATTTTCGGTTTCATGACAACTTTTTTCATAAAATTATTAAATGCTTTATATTGAGTTTGTATTTTAATTATTAATATTTTTATTTTATAACATTTTTTTTATATGTTTTTTTATTTTATTTTATTTTTTATTTTTTTTTTTTTTTTAAATAAAATATAAATAATATTTTTTTATAAATACTTAAATTTAAACTATTTATATTTTTAAAATGAAAGTTTAAATATTTTTTATTTTTATTTATTTAAATAAAAAATAATATATATATATATATATATATAATATTTTATATATAATTTTCTAATAAATTTTTATTATATTATTTTTATTTAAATATTTAAAAAAATAAAATATATTAATCATTATTCTTAATTTTATTCTTCCAAATGTTATTATTAATTTGTTATTTCTTCTTAGTGTTATTATTCATTTGTTATTTCTTTTTAGTTTTATTATTCATTTGTTTATTCTTCTTAAATTAATTTTTCATTTATATATTTTTCTTAGTGTTATTATTAATTTATTTATTCATCTTAGTGTTATTATTCATTTGTTTAATCATCTTAGTGTTATTATTCGTTTGTTTATTCTTCTTAGTGTTATTATTCATTTATTTATTATTATTCTTCATCATTCTCTGTATTCTAATAATTTGTAAAGTCTTCTTTATTCTCTTTTTAACTGAGTTTTTCTTATAATTAGTCTTAATTTTCATTTTATTAATTAACTTCCTATTATTTTTCAATATTATATTTTTCTAAAAATAGTTCTGCCTCTTCTAAATTATTAAATTTATAATTTGTTTGTATTTTTTATAATTTTTTTTCTATAATTAAATTAATATTATCAACTTATTATTAATAGATATCAGCTTTATCATATTCTTCATTCTTAAAAAAAAATATATATTTTGTTTATATATATATATATATATATATATATATATATATATATATATATATATATATTTACCTTTACATAATTAGCTATTTAAATATCTAATTATTAAACTAATTCTTATTTTAAACGAATTTCTTATATATTATTTTATAAATTAAAAAAATTATCTTATTATGTTTATTCAGTTGGTATTGAAAGTTCAGAAGAAGAATCAATTTAATTTTCTTTTAAATTTAAAAAATAAAAAATGAAAATTTGAAAATAATATAAATATTTTATAACTATCGATTGATTGAATATTATTATCGATTTCATTTTTTTAATTTTCTAATTCAATATTTTATTTTAAAACATTAATATCTTCTATTTCTTCTTATTATAAATATTTATCAATATTTGGATATTTTTCTAATAACTTATTCATTTAATAAGAAATTTATTTAATCTTGATAGAAATGTATAAAAACAAATAAATATATAGATAAAAAAATATATAAATATAAAAATATATAAATATATATATTTTTATATATATATTATTTTAAATTTATATATGAATACATTTTTTATATTTATTAATTTATATATAAATTTTTACATTATTATCTAATGCATGTATACTATCATATCTTCTTTCTTTTTCACAAAATGTTTTTAAATATTACAAATCATTATGTTTAATTTCTAATATTTAAAATAGATAAAAGTCACTATTTTTTTATAATTTTTTAGAAATTTAATCACTATTTAATTTTTAATTTTATATCTTTTTTTTTTATAAATTTTTTCTTTTTTAATATATAAAATATATATTACATTTTCTATTTAACTTTAAATTTTTTTAGTATCATCAATTAAAGCATTGATATTGTTTTAAATTTCTTCCAAATTTATATTATTTTCTTTAATTTCAATAGTTATTTATTAAGCTTACTAATAATAATAAAAAAAACAAATAAATTATTTTTTTTATTTATAAATAATGAAAAATAATAATATTAACTTTAAATTTCTTTAATTAAACTGCAGATTTTTTTTCAGAATCTAATTAATTAAGTTTTTCTTTTAAATTTAAAACTAATTCATTAAATTTATAAACTTATAATTCATTTTATTTTTGTTAATTATCTAATTAAATTATACTTTTTTCACTCTATTCTAGTTTTTTTTAAAAATCATCTAATTATTGGTTTGCCTTTATAAATTAATTAAGTATTTCTTGCCTTTTATTTTTAAAATCTTTAATTTCTTCTATTTTTTTATTTAATTATTATTCTAATTTTTCTATTTCTTCAGCTTTTTACAAAAATTCTTTTATTTAATTTTTATTTTCTTCCTATATTTTTTAATTTTCCTATATTTTATTTTCTAATGTATCCTTTTTACTTTCAATATTTCTTAAATTTTCCTATAATTCAATTTTAATATCTTCTAATTATTTTAATTCATTTTAAAAACTAACTTCTATATTGCTTATTTTAAATTAAACTTCATCTATTTATTCATGAGTATTTTAAATTTCTTCTTCTTTTTTTTATAGTATTTATCTAAGTTTATTAATTTCATATTATTAATCTATATATATATATACATATTTATTTTTATATTTAAAATATTATTTTTCTACCTGAATATAATTATTCTAAATCATTTTTTCTAAAACATAATGTTCTATTTTCTCTTATAAATTCATTTATATAACTTAAAGTTAATCATTTAGTTATTATTATTCTTATTTGATTTTTACTTATTAATCAATTAATTCTTAATATTATTCTTTGTATTATATTTATTCTTAGTGTAAAATTTGATTTTATTAAAATTCAAACTTTTCTTTTTATTATTATTATTCATTTAAAATTTTTTCTATTTATTGTAAAAGGCTTTATTTATAAAAAAGTTCTTCTTAAAATAATTAAACTTTTTTACTATTTTAAAATTAAAATAAAAAAAAATTAATAATAAAAAAAACTAACTCTTCCAAATAATCATATTCAGTTTAACAATTTTAAATTTCTTATTATGTTTTATATATCTTTTTTTTTTTATAAAAATAAAATAAAAATAAAATAAATAAATACTTCTTCTTCTATTTCTTTAATTTAAATTGCTAACTCTTCTGCTTCTTCAAATTATTCATTTTCTGCAAATTAATCTTATTGCGTTAATACATAATTTAATTTTTCTTTAGCTTTCATTATATCCATATCCAAATAAACTTTTATAAAAAAATATAAAACAAAAAGACATTATTATTATATTTTTGATAAGTTATACCTTTTTTAGACATATGAGATTATTATGTGAGTAAAATTTAAATAAGATTATCATTTTATTTAAATTTTTATTATTATTCTTAATAAATAAAATATTATTTATCCTATTTAATAAATAAATAATAAAATATTTATAATAATATATTTATATAATACAAATTAATTTTATGTATTATTTTTTTATTTAAAAGTAAAATTTATAAATTTTTAAAATTTTTTTGGTTATTAATCTTCATTTTGTTATTACTATTGTTGTTTTTAAGATGAAGAGCTTTAACTAGATTAATGATCCTCGTCTGTTTTTTATTATTATTCTTTACTTTATTATTTATAATTTTATTCAATTAATAATGAATTATATTATTATTATTATTATTATTATTATTATTATTATTATTATTATTATTATTTTTATTATTACTATTAATATTACTATTATTATTTTTTTTCTTAGCAATTATCTTATATTTATAAATCATCATTTATTTCTTTTCTACTGCTTTGTTAATCATTTTTATCAATATTATAAGATTCATTTTAATTTTCTATATTTTAAATTTAGAATTGTTCTTAATATTATTTAAAATTTGATATTGATTATATATTATTAGATAAACTATTTTATTCATCCTATTTTTTTTTATATAATTATAAATATGACTAATAAATAATTTTTTACTTGATTATTTGGAGAATTAGAAATAGATTAATTTTTTTTTTCAAAAATTTGAATTTATTTTATTATGAGCTTTAATTATATGGAGATTATTTTGTTTGTGCATCTTGATTAATTATATCTTATTCCAATTGAATTTTATCATTTGATTTAGATGATTGATTAATTTAATCTTATACATTAATGTTTTAATTTTAGATTTTTTTTTTAAATCTATAAAACAAAATAATTTTATATTTTCTATATATAATATTATATTTACCTTTAAATAATCCTGTCGCCTTTTTAGGTTGTTATTATTATTATTATTATTTTTCTTATTATTTTTAAGGCTATTATTATAATTATTATTATTTTTATTAAGATTAATATTCATTTTATTAATTTTATTATTATTCATTTTCATTACTATCTTAATATTAAAATATATATTAACCTTCACAAACTTGTTTCGTTTATATATTATTTTAGCTTAATTAATTACTTTTTTATAATTCACTTATATTTATTATATCTTATGTTTTATTTTTTTACTTTTTTGTTATAATTTTGATAAATTATTTATTATTTTTATTACTCTTTCAGTATCTGTTTCGGATTATTTTTAAGCTTTTTATTGCCATGGATTTATATTTTTTTAAACTTTTTCTTATTATTAAGTTTAATTTTAGTTTGATTTTTACTCTTCTTTTTTTATTCCAAATAATCCACCTAATATATTCATTAATACTTATTTTTAAAATTTATTAATTTTAAATTATTAATTTTTATTTGTATTATTTATTTTTAATAATATAAAATAATATTGTTTTATTAAATATAAAATTTACATATATATATATATATTATTCATAAATTTAAATATATTGTTTTTATATCCTATATTTTATTTATTTTTCAATAAAAAATAAAATTGCGAAAAATCTTACTATATATAAATAAATTTATTTTTTTGTAAAAATAATTAAAATTCTGATAAAAAATTAAATTAAAAAAATTAAAAGCAAAATAAAAATTTCAAGAAATATAAAATAATAAAAATTATTTAATAAAATATAAATAAATAAATAATAAAAATATTTATCAATTAACGCTAGAATCAAGTAATTTAATAATTTTTCTATTATTAATTGTATAAGCATAATCAAGTGCTGTTTTACCATCTATATTAAAATAATAATATATTAATATAAAAATATATTAATATAAAATATATAAATTAATATTAATATATATATATATATATATATTTTTCTATTTTAACTTTTATATATATATATATTTATTTATTTTAATTAATAAATATAATAATTTTATTAAATAATTAAAATAAAATAAAAATAACCTATATTAGTTATATCTTTGTTAGCTCCGTTTTCTAATAAAAATTTAACAATTAAATAATGTTCATTTAATGTTGCCTATATTTTAATTTATATACAATTTAAAATAAAAAAATTACGAAAATAAGAGGAGTAATTTTATTATAAAACGTTTATTCATTCAAATCTTATCCTAAAGTAGTTAACCTTCTCACAATATCAAGATTTCCTTCTCTAGAAGCATTCCATAAAGCTTATTTTGTTAATATATATATAAATATAAAATTTTAAAAATTTATTTTAAAATAAATATATATATATATATATATATATATATATATATATATATATATATAAAAGCATATAAAAATTAACTATAGAAAGCAAATCTAGTTTTATCATTTGTAACTATTTATAAAGCTGTTTTTCCTTTAGAATTTATCATATATTTTAATTTTTCATAATCAGCATCATATCTTTATAAAAGTTATACAGCAGTATAATGATCTTATTTATTATTATAATTAAAACAAAAAAATTAATAAATATAAAACAAAAATACAATTAAAAGCTGCAAAATGTAAACAAGTCCATTATTTATCATCTACAGCATATATATTAGCTTTATTATCTAAAAGTACTTTCATAACTTATATGTTTCCTTTTTTTGAAGCTAAATGTAAAGGAGTTAATTTATCAACAGTTAAAGCCTAATATTAAAAATATATTTATAAAATAAAAAAAGTAAAATACTTAAATATTTGCATTATTATCTAATAAAAATTAAAGAACATCAGGATGATTATACATTGCTGCTATATGTATTGGTTAATAACCCTTAATAAAAAAAAATATATATATAAAATATATAAATTAAAATATATATATATATATATATATATATATATATATATTTTTTTAATTTATATATTTACTTTATTTGAG